GCGGTTTCTATTTAGATAATGAATTTTTATAAAAGTTCTTAACGACAGAATAAACGTATTGCTGTTTTATATTAACTGTGTCATTTCGGAATCCATTCTTTACATAGTTGTTCATTTACTTTAGGGAACACGCGAAAAATTATACTTTTTCCTTTTGTTTTTATATCAGAATTTTTGCAAGTTGCAATCGCGCAAACTGGCATTTCGATAATAGTTTTAAATTCTTGTAAATTCACTGCAAAAACTGAGGAAAGTCATTATAGAATAAACGTATTGCTGTTTTATATTAACTGTGTCATTTCGGAATCCATTCTTTACATAGTTATTCATTCACTTTAGGGAACACGCGGAAAATTATATTTCTCCGCTTCTTGTTTATAGTTTGTCTAAAGTAAGAACTCCCCTAGCCATTCGTTTGGACCCGTGGCAATGACTATGGTAACGATTATTTCAAGTAGGGGTTCTTGTTTAGGGCAGGTTTTGTCTTCTGTCTATTGTGTTAAACCTAGAGTGAAGAGACGCTATTGTTTCCATAGCAGCAGGCGGCCTCAGACTTTGTGGTGAGGGGAGTTCTTACCGTAGACAAACTATACGCATTTCGCAATATTATTTATGCAATTTACAAGGAAGCAATGCATTTCTATGCATGAGATTGGCACTAATTGATTACTTAAATTACTTTAACATTGTATTCAATCATATAAAAAGAGATTTTTGCTTAGGGAAAGGGGGATAGTGTGGGATTCATGTAAAACACTGTTATTTATTGTACCAGTTAGTTTTTTAAAAATTTAGATTTAATTATAGAATTATCGTTAAGGGGTTGTGCAAAACAAAAAAACAAAAGTAACAAAAATAATCATGGCGCGTGATTTATGACCATATAGTGGAAAATACCTAAAGAAATTGTGCTACAATAAACCCTTCAAAAATAAATAAAAAATCATGCAAATGAGCGATTACATCATGGTGATGAAGTTCTACATACCTGTTGCTTAATCAGGAGATTTTATTCCAAGCTGAAAATATTTAAAATGACCAATTCTGAGTCAGAGAAAATGAGTTCTTGTCGTTTCAAAACAAACATATATTTTTATTTTTAGCTGATTCGAAACACACAAAAGGGAAATCGCAACATCTATAGGAAACAGGGACACAGCACGGTTTGAACATTCTCCTGAAGTTACAGACAGCAAATATTTAATCAACTGATGTGATTATGTTAAAAAATACAGGATTTTCTTCATGTTGATACTATGTTTCAGAAATTGAATATAAACGCTTGCTTTCAGTCATTATTAAAAATTGCAGAGAACTTTGTAGTTAAAAGTCATATGTAATAACGTCTGAAGTAAAAGAATAGTGCGATAGATTAAAAAGGTGACATGAGGTAAATAAGATTAATTTTAACGAATTAATTTAGTTGATTTAATTAAATTGTATTATCTATTCATTTTGAGCATTTTTATTGTTTAACATTTATCGGATGACTTGTTTATGTTTTGTATCTAAGTATTAATTAATGCTATTTATATTGTTTTTTATCTATTTCCGATTTGTTTTTATTTTAAAACGCGCTTTTTTTTTAATATTCGGATTCTCGCGGTGAACTGATCGTTAAAACACTGTTCCCAGCAGATCACCGAAGTCAAGCATCAGTGTGCAGGTGGTTGATCACTTGGATCAGTATGCGATGGGACCGAGGGTGTGCGGTAGTGGTCCTCGTTAAACTGTTCTATCGTAAAGTGTTCGACTTCGCGTGCAGGTCGTCGGGCTACAGAAGTGGGGGTGCCATCCCCTTTGCATAGGATCAAAATTGTGATGGCATGTCTTCGGATCATCCTCAGGAATATTTCCCAGACCGTCGCCAATAGCCAATTGTGCAGCTCTAGTGCGACGTAAATGAACTAGAACTAATATTCGGATAATTTTTGACAGTCATACAATTGTTACCTAATTTGAAATTTGTGTTTTTAGTGATTTTATTGATTATTAATAAATTTTTTTTTAATTAAGCTTAAAGTACTGGAGGAATAGGGTTAATGAAGACATGGGGATAAAACTAGACAAGTGAAAAATTTCTGTTATTTATTACTCAAAAATTTGCAATATATTTTGGCAATTTGGCGAAATTTATTACACATTCATGTGTTATTGCAGGACAAAACAATAGAATTGTGAAAAATCGCTTTTATTTTACAGTAACAGTTCCCAACCTCACGATTGCCAGCAAATGCTGTAAAATTTGCATCAAAGTTGCTGTGTTGAATAACTAACTGATGCAAAATTTTCAGCAAAAAAACTTTTTTAAATAATAGAGCAAACTGCTGAAAAAATTACAAGAAGGTTCATGTTTTGAAAATTACATTAAATATATGTAAAATTGCAATAAAATTGCTGTTTTAAACATTGCAGCAAACGGATAAAAATTTCACCTCTTGATGCCATAATATGCTGTTACTGACAGTGTTGTGACTGTAGCAAAACATTTCTAGTTAATTTTCATGTTACTGTTTCTGACAGTGTAGTGCATTGCCAGTAGCAGCACGCTGAGGATTTTACATCAGTATACTGAAATATTTACAGCATTGTTCAAAACAGCAACATAATAAATTTTACACCTATTGCTGGCAGCAAGTTTCATTGTAAAATACGAAGGATATTTTATAGTGTATATTAAACTATATTATTGATCTTGTAGGACTATATTCATAAAAACAAAAAATCTAACTTATGAAAGTTTAAATATTGTATATAGTTGTGTAAAGAAAGCCACAAAGGAAGTAATTATAAGTTTATTACCAAATATGATATTTACAAGCATTAATAATACAATAATCTGAATATCTAATTGCATAAAATTGTTTGTTATAAATTAGCAAACATATAATTGAAGTTATACTTCTTATGCAACTTCCAACAAGGTTGCGTTAAACGTTTAACGCTACATTTTTATTGGCCGGGAAATCACGTGGAAGGATCCAGTTTTCCCTCATCGTTTTCCATATTGCTTTGGTTCTCACTAGCATAAAATTAATAAAAGTCATAAAAATATTGTTTTTCTATAAATATTTTTTAGTTTGTTTTGATACACATATAGTTTAATAGGGTAGTATTTTTTATTTTCAAACTTAGTGGATAACAATTGTAAAAAATGAGGGAAAACAATCCCACGGACAATGCGACGGATTTAAGGTTATGTCAAGGTACGTCTCTTGTGAATATCAATTGATTGTTTCTCTTCTGAAATTACATTCACATACATTATTAATACAAATACATTTTCGAGGGCGAGACGATGAGGCAACCGCAAGCCCTGGTTCAAGAGGTCCAGGGAGGAAAAATGCACAATATTACCGTGATTACAGAGCACGGAAGCGAGCGGAGCAGGAAAAAGAGTCGTTGAATAGAACTAGTGATTCTTCTACGACTGCTGATTCTTCTACAATTAACGTCGCAGGTTGCGAAGTTTAACTTCTTCCGCGCGGAGGGACTCCACGCACTATTTTTTTTTTATAAAAATTTAATCTTGGAAAAAAAATATTATTACAAAATATGGGGGAAGGCAAGGAGCATCAGAACTACGTTAAGTAACATTTATTCACATATAGGACATAACACTGGACAATACACAAAATACAAGACACTTAACTTATTAGAAGAGGCCGTCTGCCTCGTCGGCTACCATCACATACAATGTGTGTGTGGTAGGGAAGGGTGTGCGCCATGATATGCGTGGGGAGGGTGCGCAATGATATATGTACGTGTGCGTGACGTATGGAATACGCTTCCCACAATAATGTAACTTCAATTCATTTGATTAACACCATAAATCTGCATTTAGTATATCATCACTTTATTACATTATTAAGTTAAAATTTATTTTATTGCATTTTTTTTAGCGAAACAACATATTTTATTTTTTTATTAATTGAATCTGGGTACTTTAATCTATTTCAATATACATGTCGTTCCGTAATAAATAATTTTAATCGGTTGTTTCATGCTTAATATCCTTTTAAAAATCCTTCTGATAAAAATCCTTATCAGGAAGGGGGGCAAAAAAAGTATACACTTAAAGGTTTCCAAAATAATATTAGAGCATGGAAAAAGCAAAGTCTAACTTTGCGGTTTCTATTTTTTTTTCTGATTATCGAACCCTAAATGATGTAGCTTTTAGGCTCATTTTGAAACTGCGAATATATTAACCGAGAAAAGATTACTAATTATTTCAAAAATATTTAAAGTAACGAATAGTAATTTTTTTCATTGTTTTAAAGGTTTGAAATTAAATTTTATCTCACACGGTAAAAAAATTCTTGTAAAATTACAGTAGAGTATGGTAATAAAATTTCTGGTAACAAAAGAAAAACAAAAAAAAACAGCACAATTCTAGTTAATAAAACAAAAATATACGGTATTTAAGCCAAGTATTTAGTAATTTTTAATTTTATATAGTAGCAGTATACCGGAAATTCTGGTTCTCAATATTATATTTCTTATTAACATACATTTAGCAGAAAAAAAATACAAAACTTAAATTTATTTAACCGTAACTTAAGTAAATTTAACCGTATAGCTGATTTTATGCTATGTTCAAAGGTGACATGATAAAATTACCAAATTTTACCACATTTTTCAAATGTTATGAAAAACCCTTTTTATTGTTAATTTTACTAAAATCATTACCAAAGTGTTGGTAAAAATTACCTAGATTTTTGGTTCAAGCAAAGAGAAGGGAATACGGTAAATTTTGCCAAGTTCTGGTAGTTTTGAGAGTACTTTTTTTCAGTGTAGGTAGTCGAATTTAAGAGCATCTGAATTTTTTACATTAACTTAAAATAACCAAAATTAGTTAGATTGTGATTTTCGAAAAAAAGAAGAAAAAAAAACTGTTCATTATTGTTGGGAACAATCATCAGAAACTGATTTCATATACATTTTTAAAATTAAAAATTCGATTAGAAATGCTGATTCATTTTTTAATAATTACATATTCTTTTATAATATATATATATATTTCTCTTACACGGCACCAAAAAAAAAAAGCCTCATTACAACTCCCCGNGTATTAACTCTAAGGGTAGATACACGACATTGCGACAATTATGTATTGTATTGTACTTGAGCTCACATTGATATATTCTATATCATTGGTATCTATTCATGTAAATATCGCATTCGTTTCATTTACAGAGTCTTTACACCATTGAAATTTTTTCGGAAAAACGTTTTGGCAAATTTATCAAACTTTCAAACAAGTATAAGATTCTTCAGTGCTGATATAAAGTGTTGGAGGGTACTTTTTTATGGTACTGAATATATTGAATGCTTAGAAGCACTGAATACTAACAGGTAATATTATTATCTTACTTTGATATTTTTATAAGTTATTTTCGAAAAAGATTTTGTTTTTGTAATGAATTTTTGCATCGTGAAATAGAATATTAGTCCCGTTTTGACATGGTTGCTGACATCACCCTTGACCTGTACTATTGAGGAATAACCAACTTACATTGGTTCTAAATTCTAGATTTTAAGGGAAAAATACGCACATATAGTTTCATATTCCTGAAAAGCTATATCAAGGAGTTCTACGTTCAATGGAACTGAAACAAGTCAGTGTGTCCAGTGGTTTCTCAAAATCATTATAGTGGTAGTTTTTCGCAGCTCTGTTGCCAAAGAAAATAAAAAAGCCATAGCTTAGTCTTACACTTGAAGCAATGCGATGATCTTAAAGTATAACCTCGTCGTGAAGAATTATCTGGGAGTTAGAACAGACAAATAACTTAAATATTTTATGGTTTTTTTTAAAAAATCGCCAATTTGGTGACATTTTCCCACTTAGATGAAAATTATCAAAATCGATGCCGTATTGTCAGTTTTTGCAAATTTTTATGAACCCAGGTAACGCCGCATTAGAGTCAGTTTCTAAATATTAAAAAATTAGACCACAAACGGTTTTAATTTTTACAAAACTGTGGCTTTTCTCCATATTGACGTTTTGCACCGTTTTCAAAATAACCGTAGATAGAACTAGCTTCAGATAGGCTAAATTTGACCCAACAGTCATGACCCAACAGTCAACAGTTGCCAACTCACGTGCTTATTATTCGCTAAAAAGCGTAATTTCATATTACGTCAGAGCTTTCAAAAACAGCTTTAAAATGTAGAAACCACGCAAAAATCCGATAGTTGCTAGAATTATATAACTTTTATGGAAAAAATAATAGCTATGTAGGGAAACAACTTCGAACCACAGATCTGGGTATAATAATTGACAGTTTTTCTTTCTAGAAATTTCACAGCAACATCAGGGACTTGACATACTGTCAATTAAAGCAGAATATTTTTTTTCTCTCAATAAAAAATAGATAACACAAATAAAACAGACAATTTCTGTTACGGCCGAGTATTTTCGGGATACACAATTGCATTAAATAATAACCCGAAGTAAATCGGGATAATATGAGAAGCAGTTAAAATTTATTAGAAAATTTCGTTTGTTTTAAATTTTATCTAGTACTTTTCCAAAGTATAAATTATTTTCAAATCAAATCAACTAAACTTAGGTGTCAAAATACTTAGCATAATTTCTGTGACACTGCTGTGTTAAAGTGAAGTATAAACTACTTTAAAAATTCTGTTAATGTAGTTACTATAATTAATTATTCATTTCATTTTAGATTGTCCTCATCATCGGAGAGGATTGTTGAAAGTTTGTCTGTTGTTTGCAAGAATGTGAGTTTTTAATCGTAATTAGGGGAGTGTGGGGTAACCCCGCCCACAGTCAATTTCATATGTATAGAATTTTTTTTCAAGTCAATGGGCCATCGGACATTAATTGTTAATTAAAAAAATATTATTTTCAAAGTTTCAAGTATTTATGCAGCTGATAACATGGTAAACAATAGTTTACCATGTTATATAAATATAAATATGCAATAAATAAAATAATTTTGTGATAAAAATGATAAATTAGGTTTATCTATTGTCAATACATTGGTCATTTTCATTTACACCTGAAAAAACAGCCAAAAATCATAATTTTTGTAACTGGGCGGGGCTACCCGACACATTTTGAAAAGAGCTGAAAAACATGTTTTTTTAAATTTCTATTTTTTTAAGTTAAACTATTCTTTTTTTGGTTTATTCTTTTTGCAATATTCATTTGGATGATAAAACAATTGAAACATACAAAAATATTAATTATTACTCAATATTATGCAGAAATATAAGTAATACTCCTTATGTGGGCGGGGCTACCCGACTCTCCACTATATCTTTCAAAAAGTAAAAAATTACCGAAAATTTAAGAAAAATTGAAAGAGATGGAGGGATTTATAGTTTGCTGTATTCTGTTTAGGTAGCCAGTGATTTATCCTCACAATTAGTTACGAAGTTCAACGCTTTTTACAATTCCAAATTTGTAATTAGTACTGAGATGTGTTTCTTGAATAGACATGTTTTTTAGCAAGAACAATGTCGCTCATTTTGAGGACAAAAGTATTTCAGTTCAAATAGGTAAACACGCAGCATAGAAGAGTAATACCCAACCAAAAAGATTGCTTTCTATGTAAAAATCAACTACAGAAAAAAGTTTTTACTCATATCACTCACTTTAAAAAAACCACTGTACGTTGACTTTAGATCAAAATTATATACAGTAAAACTCGCTTATAACGGGTGCGAAAGCATCGCAATATTTGTCCGTTATAACTGAATTCTCGTAAAACCGGATTCGTAAAAAGTCATTGAAATTTGGTGGTAGTTTCGATCAAATTAATAAAGGGATAATAAGTAAATAAAAATGAAATGAGTTTCGACCACTTTTTACATTTATAGTCGCCTGTAGCACCCTTGGCAACAATGTTACCACAGGTCTTAAGAATTTTAAATTATGGTACTAAATATGTGTTGCTAATCGTAAGAATGTTATTTTTTAAGATATAGTTAAACTTCTTACACGGCTTTATTTTGTTTAACCCTTTCAAAGGCCGTGGGAAGTATACTTCCCACCACTTTTAATTTAGGTTTTCATTCGTTAATAATTTCAGCTTACTTGAAGTCCGTTTGAATAAAATTGGTAACCATTTGTTAGCTTAAAAAAACGTATAAAAGTTAAAAAAAATACATAATTCCTTTTGAAGTTTGTAGCATTTATAAAATTTATTTCATAAGTAAAGAAAAATAAAAGTCAATAAGTAATATATGGTCGTGTTAAATATATTTACCACCGAAAAAATTGCCTTTTTATAAACTAAATGGGGTTTTTCTTTCTTATATCAATTACTATTCTTAATACAATTTCAATTCAAAAAATACTTTAATTTATGTAAGAATTCTGCAATGCAATTGGAAATCTTTCAAATATGCCATATTACTCCTGGCTCGTACCCCCCAAACATCACTGGTACCAGAGCACCAGTCCAGGAGGTGCACTTAACATTCGGTGCAACCGCAAGGACCAGACTGCACTTACCAGGCTTATCAGCGGCCACCTTAAGTCCCTTTCTTTTGAGGGTAGTATTAAAATCTACCCTAACTGCCCCAGGTGCCACAACATGCAGTCTTCCCCCCAACATATCCTGGACTGTCTTGGTCTGGACAAAAGGGACATTCTTAATAACACACTTATGGTGGCCGACTTCCTCCGGGTGATGAATTTCATGGACATTATTTAGCCCTGCTAATTTTGGGGATAAGGAAGAAGAAGAAGAAGATGTAAGAATTAATAATAGGCACGTTACCCGAGTATCATGTGCGGTGAATTTTGAAAGGACATAACAATTAATACTTAAATATAGATAAAAATCAAGATTTCAGTCAACGCGTTGTATACATTTATTTTTCCCCGTTTTCATATCGAATGCTATTGCCATATAAAATATTATTGTATATTCACTATATAGGCTCCATTGAGTTAAAACTCAAATGGTCGTTATTGTGTCACTTGTAAAAAAGTGTGCAACTGGCCTGAGGGAGGCACGCGATAATTTTGTTATATTTTCTTGGAGAATTATCAGAGATGCCAACTGCTCCGCTTTCTGGAATAGTTTTAATAAAGTGGTAGCAAATTATCAAGTAAAATTCGTTAGAGAAGGATAGTTAAAGCCTACTTTTTATAGAGTAACCAGTAAATTGATGCTTTAACGTTGCATTTTATATGATACTTATAATTTTTTATATTTAGTGGTGAAAAAAATTACTTAATAGGAAAAATACTAAACTAAAAGTAACTTAAATTTCGCTACCACTGGAAAATACTATTTTGTTTCACTCACTATTTTACTGGGATTCGAAGTTGGCATCACTGAATTATGAATTACTTTGTTTTAAATATGAATTATTTAAAATGTAAGTCAAAGTGGTAGTCATGATTGAATATTTAAAAAAATTATATATATAAATTAAAATGAATAGAGTTTCTACCACATTTTACATATTTGGTTACCCGTGGCATCACCGACACATCATACTTGTCACATTTCGCTTTTCCAAATTTTTTGTAGTGGTAGTAAAAAGTAAAGTGAAAAATAAACTATAAAAATACATTCTTATGCAAAAGACAACGTGCTCATTTGAAAGTACATAAATTGACTTATTATAATTTCAGTTTTCTAAACAAAAGCATTCCTCAGTGTCTTGTTTCTCTCGTGTCTTTAAAGGTGACTTCATGAAAGTAACCCTCCTAAGAATATGGACCCTCCTATATAATTTATTCATTTGTAGAGATCGATAAAATTAATTTTATATATCGAAGAATCAGATCGAAAAGCAAAAGTTCACTATCACTTTTAATATAAAAATAAAATCTTCCAAAAAATCTTGAAGTACGGAATGACATGCTACATATGGCAAGTTATTAATCATTTAGATCCATTTTTGGAACATGTCTCTTTTTTAAAGTTTTAACTCAAATTTTTCATTCATAGCATTTACAATTAGAAAAACTGAATGTTCCTTCAAACCAAAAGTCATTTATTATATAAAATTATATATCATGTAATATTGATCTTGTTCTGGACTAAATCAGTAGTTGCATATTTTAAAAATCAAAATCAGTAGTCAACTGAAAAAAAATATCCATTTAATTTATATGCAAACTTTTTACCACGTGTTTCAAAAAGGCACTTTTTCCATTAGTTCTAAATAAGTTGGGCAGATAAACGGTTAAACTTTTTTTTTATGTGTTATAGATGGACTGCAAAGTTCAAAGATATGCAACAGAAAATAGCTTGACCATACACACATGGCCTTGCAGCATTCCTCCAAATACATATGATGTGGGAGTTGTGGACGGATTTGGACACTTAATCCCATCCTCATCCATTCAAGCTTGCAAATAGTAAGATTAGTATACTACGTTTGACTTTTCTCGTTGTATCTTTAACTCATCACATTTAAAACATTACAATGGTGATTTTAACACTATGCGGTCGGCATATATTTGGTGATAAGTTTACCATGTAACCGGTTCCGTGTAACCTGCTCCGCTTTGTAAAATAGTATTTTCTAGTGGTAGCGAAATTTAAGTTACTTTTAGTTTAGTATTTTTCATTATAAGTAATTTTTACACCACTAGATATAAACAATTTTAAGTATGATATCAAATGCAACGTTATAGCATCAAGCGTTGGTTCACCTAATATGGTACCCCTGGAAAAGTGGCCAACAGTTGCAGAGATGCCAACTGCTCCGGACAAGCCAAAATAATTAATGAAGCGGTAGATTACTGCAAAGAAAATTTTGCATATATTTGACTATATTTGCTTGTTTTTTAAAAGGTATAGCATACCTGCCAACTCTTCCGGATTTTCTGGAAGATTTTATTTTCATATTTAAAGTGGTTGTAAATATATACTATTTTTTCTTTTATAAANAATCATGTTTAATTTATCAAGCAAATATGCTTGATATTCTGTAATGCTACCTAAATGCTGCATAATTCAAAATGTTTTTTAATTCAACTTGTAAATACTTCATGATGAATGGGTTAGGGGCCGCTGCGCGGCCCAGGCACCCAGTTTTAGTTAAATAAAGAGAAGAGAAGAGCATCAAGCGTTGGTTCACTTAATATGGTACCCCTGGAAAAGTGGCCAACAGTTCTGCCTGTATGTAAGTTACTTTTCCGGCGGGCATTGAAAAAAGAGAAAAAAAATTGTGAATATTTTTTTTCTCCGATACCATTTTAGAACTGAAAAATACAACATAAGAAAATTTCTTATCATTTTGAAAATATTTATTCTATGCATTGAAAGGAATGCCAACTTCTCCTTATTCTATACATTGAAAGGGATGCCAATTGCTCCGCTTTCTGGAAAATATTTAATAAATTGGTAGCGAATAAAATAATAAAACTTATGGAATAAGGATAATTAGGCCTACTTTTTCAAAAAAATAACCACGAGATAAAATCCTTTAATGCTAACGTACATATTTTGGTGTCTGCTTTTCAGCATTTGCCTATTCAACACAGTTAAATGCCAGCAGACAAGACATTTGTTATAATAGAATTTTTCTAAAAGTAATGGTAGTTGTGATAATTTTGTCATTTTAATAAAATTATTTTCACAGTAATCCATTGAATACATTACTCAATACATTGTATACATTGCTCAAATGCATTGTACATTGAAAGAATACAATACATTGAAAGAAACTTAACTGGATTGAAGGAATTTAAATTTAAATGATTTTATTTTATTTTCTTATTTTATAATCGTCGTTGAATAGCCGATCAATTTTTGGGTTTAAGACTACTGATGTTCAACTCTGTAGCCTTTTAATATTGAATCCAACCCAGAAGACAAGGGAACTCCTGGATCAAGTATTGGGAAAAATTTGCCTTCGTGGTGGACTTTTTGATGGAACTAACCCGCATTTGCTTTACACGGAGAGGAAAACCATGAAAATATCTGATGGTTAGCTTAACGGCAAGGGGACTCTAGCCCATGATCCGTCTACCACTGAAGATATTTTACGTCTGCACTGTGGTAGCTGAAAGCTGGATACAGAATTCGTATCGACCAGCCATCACTGGGATTCGAACCCGCGTCACCTCAATGGAAGGCAAACTCTCTATCCCCTGAGCCATCACGGCTCAAATTTAAATGATTGCTGAGTCCGATAAACATCCAGTTGCTTTGATGAGACTACCACTTACGCATTTTTGGCAGAACGACTGAAAGCCCTTTGTTATGGTATACTTTTCTAGAGTAAGCTGACAAAAAAAATTGAACTTGAGTTTCTTCCATAACAGAATTTCTATAATAACATTCGAAAACTCTTCTCTTTATATTTTCAACTATTTAAGAAAATATTTCTGTCATTAAAATTTCTTAGAGAGATTCCCGTTCTAAGAATATTAAATTGGAAAATTAAAGTATAGTTAGTGTTCAAATGTCCATTTACATAGAAATTTGACTACCGGCTCTTTTAGTTTTCTGAGGGTGCTGGTCAGCTTATTCTATAGGAATAATTTTTCTTTTTGAGATTTAAAACAATGCAAGTTATTTTTCTCCTATATCAGCTTTCACCAAGAACTATGCCTATATCAGAACCAAGAACTGTTGAATCATATTACTGCATTTTATATTCTTTTTGTAATGTAATGTTGTGTGTACAGCGTTCGTACGCACCTGGATAAAATTTAAAAACTGGCATCAATTTTATTTTTATAAAAAAGTTGAAAATGTAATATTGACTTCAACTATCTAATTGCAATTTTTTCCAGAAATGTATGAACCCTAGTTTAGTAATTGCAGCTCTTCTTCTCAAGCTGCTTGGAATTTGACTGCTATTGAAATAAGCTGCTTATAAGAACTGCAGCTTATTTCAATGAATGGTATCAAATCTAAGAATTGGACACTGGTTTATGTTTCACCATTGTTTAGAAAATATATTATATTCTCAGAGATGCCAACTTCCCTGCTTTCTGCGATGGTTTTGATAAATTGGTGGTGAATTAAACAGTAAAACTTGCAGAATAAGGATAACTCCGACCACTCTTTAAAAATGTTACCACGAGATATCTGTAACAAAATTGAATTTCATACGAAACTTTGAATTTTTGACATGTAGTGGTGGAAAAATTAGTTAAAAGGAAAAACACTAAACTAAAAATAACTCAAATTTCGTTTCTGCTGGAATATAACTTTTTACAAAGCGGGGCAAGTTGGCCGCTCTGTATTCTACTAAACTGTTTTCAACATAGATTAGTTTTGATTTTGAAAAGCCGACAAATTTCGTGGTAAAAAGCGCTACATAGCAAACACGTTAGAATTAAGTGCAAGTAGGCTGTAGGCCAAAGAATATAGAAAGGAGAAGAAGTCCAGCTCTTAGAATACGAAGCTAACGCAGGGAACTGCTCGGTGCGGTATGCTATACCCGAAAAACAACTTACAGGGCGAACAACATACTCAGACATACCAGAGCATCATATGTTCTAAGGTCCAGCGCATGCGCAGAAGAAGCAAAGTGACGGGAGGTACAGGACAACTCTGCATGTATGGTTGTGTATGCTGTTTCCTGCTAGCCTCCAGCTCTCCCTTTCTATATCAAAATATGTTAGCAGATTTAATCAACATGGATGATATAAATTGTTCTAAAAGAAATATCTTAATTAATAGAACAATACTGTTTATTATAGTGCAAAAATGCAAGTGCATGCTCTACCCTAGTTATAGCTGAGAGGAGAGAAGGGTGAAAACCTGTTTCAAGAATCTCTGCTGTGCATCTAATTGTTGCTTTTTCCTTCATACACAGGGACCTTACAAAGCCTAGGGGCACCGGCTTACATTATGTCTATTGAAACTAGCCTTCTTCTCTATGTATATTCTTTGGTCGCAGCTTTGGTAATGCCAAAAGTTTGTATTTGCATTATTTGATGCAAGATTATATTATTAGCACTTTAACGTTTTACAGTGGAATGATCAATTTGCATCCAAGCTTGCTACCTCGGTGGAGGGGAGCCGCCCCTATTCACCATACCATTTTAAATGGAGATGGTGAAACTGGTGTAACTATTATGCAGATTGCTCCAAAAAAGTAAGCCAAGAAATTAATTTCTCACAAACATTACAAACTACACTCTTACGAATTACAGATATTTTATTCTATATGCATTGATATTTAGTGATGGTGATTTTATTCGTTTAAACTACTACTAAATTTTTTTCACTACCTAATTCTCATTTTGGCAAAAATTCTTAAAATTTCTCAAGGCTTTTAGGTCACGCAGGGGACTTTCACCTTTTTGCTAAACTGTAATGAAGTAGCGTATCACACAAGCCTTTGAATTATTTAGAAGTAGTGATGAGTAAAAATCCTATAAATCGAATTTACTAAATAAAGAATCATACATTAAAAGACTACCTCTCGAAAATATTGATCCGCTGTCCCGGAGATGCCAACTGCTCCGGACACGCAAAAATAATTAAATAAACGGTAAACAACTAAAAAGTAAATTTGCAAATATTTGACTGCTTTTGCTTGCTTTTCTAACGGTATAGCATGACAAAAGTACTTGACTTGATAGGAGTTGGAGCAAAGTACCTGCCCGCGGAGCGGGCATCTCAATTCTTCATCTAGTTGATATGATAATAGTTGTGACTTGTGGCAATAAAGCGTCTGTAAGAATCTTACAGTCATATCTGTATGACAAAAGTACTATAATGTGGTGAATTATATAAGCCTACGAATTACTTAGAAATAGTGGTGGATAAAAATCTACTAAATTGAATTTATTAAACCAAGAATCACAATTTATAAACTACCACTTTAAAATGTATATTTGTTGTCCGGAGCAAGTTGGCATCTCTGCTGTCCGGAGCAAGTGGGCATATCTGTCAATATAAAAGTTTAATGAATCAACTTGTCACAACCTTGAATAAACTGCAAAACAGGGCTTACGCACCTGGAAAAAATTAAAAAAAGTTTTAGTAATATTAATATAATTGTTTTTAATATTATTATGTTTGTAACTATCAGAATAATTTATTTTTTTAAGTAAATATATATAGATCCTAAGGTGTACGATTTGAAATTTTCAGGGTTGCCACGAAAAAAATAAAAATTTAAAAGAATTAATAAAGAAATGCCAGTCATTGACTATTAGGTCATTAGGTTTCTAGCTCTCCAGTACTTCTTAACAATACAGTCAAAGTCTTTTAGTGCAGAGCACGTGTCCAAATGCGCAGAACTCATGGCTTGTCCGGAGTTGCATAAAAGACAATCTGATGAAGTTGTCAGCTTGAGGTTAAATGAGAACGTATCATGTCCGGTCAAAAGTCTAAACATGGCTACTGCAGTAGCACGGGGTGAATCTGGAACACTGTGAATTCCACAGAGCACATTCCAGGACTTATATGTTGCAGCGTGAGATGCCAAATAATGGAATGATTGTTTGAAGATTTTTTTTTTATTTGAAGTTTGGCGAAATTAAAGGACAAATCTCTGCACGATATCTGAAGAATATAAGTTCCTTTTTTGGCCAAAAAGTCAGCCATTTTTGCCAGTCAGGCATTTTACAGAGCCAGTCACAATGGGATGGGACCCATTGAAATGCAACACTTCCCTCAATTCTCTTCAGCTCAAAACAAGGGAACTGCTATTTTCTGGATTGCTTGGTCACAGCTTTCTCAGCACGGGTAAAATTTAAAATTTTATTAAGAAATGTCAAGATTAGTTAAATTTTTTATAGCATGTTTTTTCGATTAGCTTTTAATAGTGCAAGGGAAGTTTTTGTTTTAAATTTAAATAATTTGAAATGTAAGTCATAGTGGTAATTACGAATAAATAATTAAAGATATGTGATGAGAATTTTTACTTTTTTAGTTGCCTGTGGCGTCCATTAATTTTATTTCGTTATCGGAGGCTAATATGAAGAAATTTTCTGTTCCTTTAACAAAATTGATACCAATTATTAATTTTTTCCTGGTGCTTACGAATCCTGTAAAATTGCAGCCCAAAAAACTTAAAATTGAAATCTTTTAATCTTAGTTTAATCAATCTTAATATGTTTTATTTAGGACCGTGGGGCCGCATCTGCTCATAAGGATAATTCTGTCCTGTTGAGGAGAGTAATCTTTAAATCGTTTTCTCAGGTTATTTTTAGACTGAATTTTTTTCAACATGCTTCTTGATTTACTCTCTTGCTTCAAATGTAATTTCTATTTCATTTTGAATCTTTTTCTAGTTTTATTTCTCTGTTTTTTCTATAGAAATTTAATTTTTTTCAAAAATATGAGTCAAGATAAAATTGGGCTAGATTAAAATGTTTGCAGTCTATACTTAAAAGAAAATACGCTAAATAATAGCCGCGTGAAAAATATTGCTCAATCAGTACCTCTTCCTTGAAGTAGTAATATAATAGGGTAAGTAGTAAGGGAAAATACAAGCTTTTAGTTTTTTCTTCAACTATCCACTCATTACGTTGCTTCACCTCCAATTTAAGTAAACATACAAGCTGTTCAAATAGTTATTTTAAAAATTAAATGGTTTTGAAGAAGGCTGGCACCTGTCTTCGCAAAGATCTGTCAAAGGCACGTGTCAGACTATATTCTGAAAAAATAGTACTTAAACTCTGAATAAAAACTATCGTATGATCAACTGATGAACCATACGATAGCACTTAATCGTATGGTTCATCAGTTAAATATTCATTTAAAAAATTATAAAAAAATTATTCTAAATATCGTTATTTAAAAATAAATATATAAATAAAATGATTATTCTAAACATCGACATCTAAAATTTTTTTCCACAGTCTGGAAAAATTTTGTAACAAAATTCTTCATTAGACGATTGGATATTTTATAGGTTTTTATTAAGTTTTGTTTTTTGGAGATTTGAGTTGGATAGTTCTTACATCCACCCACATTCCTTTAATTTACGAATAATTTATTTTTCTTTGGTTGCAAGGAATTAAATAAAACATTCTGTTTTCTCTGGATTTTTTTACCGATTTTTAAAATTTTTCCAGACCTATACTTTACGCTTTGTATTGTGTTTAGGCATTTGGATTTCTAAGTTTGCATATTTCATGCCTTGCCAACTTAGCACTATTTCTTGCAGTTGCAGAAATGTCAACCCGGAACGAACTTATAACCATAGACCTGCCATAGCTATAAGGCTAGAATGCACGTGCCTCCCCTGTAATTTTCCAAATCTTAAGGATACTAGTAATCCAATTACCTAAACAAATGTAAATATAATTGTTTGCCGTAATATGGAAGCACTTTTATAGATGGTGTTTTCGACACTAGGGAGCGCTGCAAGCTGTATGCTACTTATACTTCCGGGTTACTGATTCCGGTGTATTTTAGAGCCATATGGCTCACAACTTGATCATTGTGTTTTAAGATTCTTGCAAACGTGGTATTTGAATACTTATTACTAGAGCCCGGATTTTGATGACCTAAAAAGTCTCAACTAATGCCCTTAAAAAGTGCAAAAANAACACTAACGTAAGATGGTGCACAGCTTGCAACACGAACAAACAGTAATAAACAAATGGAGAGAGGCCAAATCAAGACTGCCAAAAAAGCGAGTTATTCAAAATCTAGCAACCATGTCACCTTTTTTAACAATATATCTCTAAATAACTAAAACAAATTTTCACTTAAAACTCAACAGAATTACACAATAACATTAACATCCTATGAAATACTGCAGATTTGAGCTCAGAAATTATCTAATTTCTTTCTTTTATTGAAAACAAAATGATCCGTTTGAAAATATCGCCTTGCAGAATAACATGTATTAAGCAGCTGCAATCTTTCCAACCGGAATTAGAGCAGGCATACAGCTCGAGATTGTTATTGTTTACATTTTTACGGAAAACACCATCCGTACAAACTCTCCATAAACAATCTTTCTTTTAGCAATTTTTTGGAAGATTTAACATGGCAAAACTGTTGGTAAAATTTGAAGGATCATGCTTGAACCACTTAGAAATTTGGATTGATCAAAATGAGGATAAGAATTTAATAACTTTATTTTAGCATTAATATCAGCAAGTTTGAAATCATTCCACTGGATTTAAATATTTATATAAAAATGTTTGTTTTTAATTATATTGGAATTAAAAAAAAAGATGCTTTTAACTTCCTACACTCACTTTAGTCAATGAGAGTTTAGCATGGATAAAAGTAGGTAGGTGTTTTATTTACTTCGCACTAGAGCTGCATAACGGGCTATTGGCGACAGTCGGGGAAACATCCCTGAGGAAGATCAGAAGACATGCCATCCCAATTTGTGAGGTTGTTTCCTCAAATTAGACATGGATTTGAAGGGGAAGGGAATTTTCCGCAGATCCCTGTACCAATGGTATTGCTCAGCGACGGACCATAGGACTTTCGATTCCCCAGATTTTATGACCACGTCTATCGCATGTGCTCAGAGGATCTTAGTTGTTTCGAGGATCGAACCCCGACTCCTCCGGAACAGTGTAAGATTCTCTACCCTCTTGGCCACCACTGCCCTTATGGGTAAAAAGGACACCATTTCTAAAAGCGTCAAGCACAATTTTTAAAATTGTGGCAATAGTTTTTCCATGTAAAATCTTCGAAAACATTTGCTGATAAAAATATATTGTTTGCATAGATTTAGTATAGAAGTGTTTCAATATTCTTGTCCAACCCTTGAATCTGTGACTTACTTTTCATCCACACCACAGGCACTTTCTCTTCTTTTCAATTTGCATGAGTCAAGAACTCTAGATTATACTAATCAAATCGGCAAATGCAAAATCGGATAAATCAAATCGGCAAATGCAGCTTCGGCAGTCGGTCTAATTTACAGACTATTTTAATTTCCTAAAGATATTTGAGGAGTTAAGGAGATGAAGCATGTTAATGGCATTTTCAAGGGTATTTATTATTCAGAGGAAATAACTAAAGAGGTTATGTCAACGATTATTGTAACAGAATTGCTTTTGCTTTCACTTTATATTTAACATAACTAGACCGAATTAGTTTGGAGTATGCTTGCATGATTTTTTATTTTGAACAAGGTTGCGGTAAATTGAATCGGGCAAACTGAGCAAAAAATAGGGAAAAATAGGGAGCTTTTTTAATTACCCTGATTGGAACCACACTGAAAATGTCAATTACACGTTTCCTCTCTTATTAATAAGCAAGGTAAATGCGTGAATGTAAGATAAATTGCAAGAAGGAAATAATTGAGTTACCAGTCTTCATCTTTTTGAAAAATGTTTACGGAAATGACCAACGGGTCAGTGGGTTAACAGCATTAACAAAAAATATTAGAAGAACTTATAGAAAATTGGTTAGTTTAAAGCTGAGTTAAAAAAAGTAATGTTTCAAGTGATATTTGGAACCTTCTTATTTTTCAGATTTGATGTTGGAAATATTTTGTTGCAAGAAACTTATAAAATACCTGATCCAGATAGAACAACAGTAGAAGAATTGACGAAAGTATTGAAGAAAAAAGGAGCTGAAATGGTAATAAGTTAGACGAATTCCCGGCCTGCCAGCTACCACGCTTCTTGAAAAATATTTTTTTCAGTGGTAGACATTTAAATACCGAAGATTTCAGAATTTCTGGCAATTTGGCTAACATTTTAAACGCCTCAATTAATTCAAAGAATTGGAACTAAGTTGAGCTGCATATGAACTTCTAAATTATTTATGTTTAGTGGTGTAGAAAATAAGTTTATATGAATAAAAAACAATACCGTAAAACATAAACATAGTTACCACTATTATGACTTTTTACAAGAAGAGTAGAAAGTTGATAGCCCTGGAATTGTGTTTTAATATATGTTCTAAAATGCGACAGACAAATTCTGGGGATAGGGGGAGGGTGATAAAAGGCACCAAAATTATAAAAACCATTTAGAACACGGTGTTACAAACCACGTTGAGAAGGGCATTGCAGGCTCTGAATCTGACGACGAAGACGAAAAGTGCAAGCAAATGAGAAAGTTTCTACATCGTCTTATAGTTTTGGGGCAGAAAAACAAAATGTAAATGCAGAAAAACAAATTTTTAACTATGCAAAATAATTTATTTCATTCATAGTCTCTCTTCTTTATACACGACCAATTCTTTTCATTTTTCTAAATCCATGGAATTGGGTTTCTAATAAACCTTTTATGAAAGAGATAATATATTGGAAAAATCAATTTAATTTAACTTTATTCACTTCTTTTTGGATAGGAAAAATCTCTGAAATTTTTAAACGATGTTGTAAAAAAATTTTCATCATCATTTTTACTTGAGTTAATCTGCGATAGTTAACAACACAGATTTTTCAATACTCTTTAAGAAATTGAGAATTATCAAAAGGACCTTCTATCTTTTTGTCTGCGCATTTTACAGACAAGTTTCAATTGTAAAATATTAAGTTGAAAATATAAAATTTGCCGCAATTTGGGTTTTTACAGCTTCCGGATTTTATAGTGGAAAATGTGCAATTTTCTGTTAAAAATCATAATGTTTTTTTGTTTTTAAACTTCGAAGCTTGTGGTTTGTGTGTATAAATATTATTTTGCTCAACCGAAGCTTTCAAAATATTAGTTTTATACCAAATTACATCTTATAATGGCATCCTAAAAGATTCCTTTAAAAAGAAAAAATCCCCATGTTAATAAGAAACACTTCCATACTACATTTTACCAACAACATTAATACCAGGCTGCAAAAGTAATCGATATATATATGAAAAACACTTATACAAAAAAAGTGATAGTTTATTCATACTGGATATTTCTTTCTCTTTATGACACTTAGACTTTAGAAAAGAATTCTCCTATGATATTCAGGGCTGATAACTTTCTATGCTTTCTTCTAATGCAGAGGTTCCCAAACTTTTTTTTTCTCGTGGACCACTTTCAAAGTTTTACTAATTTTGTCAGACTGCTACATTTCTACTGCATTCCCAAAACTCCTTAAAAATATCACCCTAAATTGGGGATGTTAAGAAGAAAAAAAAAGTAGCACATTTTCTTGTGTCCTATTTATTAAAATAATACTTGTGGTTATACAAAATTATAAACATTTATTATTACAAACAATTGACAAAAAATAAACAATGAACTCTGAAATGTAAATCAAGAATAAAAAATAGTCATACTTTTAATGAGACAGATGTACTTAATGAATTGACAGCAAATAATCAATATTTGGCTTCAGTTTTGTACGAAGTAATCTCAAATCTCCCCGTTCTGTGATGTTCAACCTGCTCCTTTTTTTTGTCAACAGGTTGGAAACGGCACTAAAACTTCTTTCGACAAGATATGACGAGGGAAACGCTATCAAAAATTTTCTCGCAATTTCCCACACCCCAGGATATTTTTCGGGGATTTCTGTCTGCAGCCAAAATGTTTGATAGCCTTTTTTAAATTTCACCTTCAGTTCCTCGTTGGTGCTGAGCTCAAGTAGCTCCTCTTGTAATACCACATACGCCTGTTCCGTTTCATCAAATGAGGTTATGATCCTTGGTGATATTTCCAACGTCAGAAAATCTTCAAATCTATTTTTGAAGTCATCGTGCAGGGTATTTAAATGCGAGCGGGCGCACGGGCGGCACTTTGCAAGTCTCGACATGTGGTGTACACTTGTATTATTATCTATTCAATTTTGTGTTTGAACTGAGTATCGAATATTTTTGAGTACCTACCTAGTGAATGATGCTACCTGCCTACGTTGATAGGTAAATCCAAGCCAAAAATTTTGTTCTTTATTACGAAAACCAGAAAATTTTTCGTGGATCCCCACTTACAACTTGTGAACCCTTGTTTTCTTTTCACGTCTACGTGGACCCCCGTGTGGTCTCCTATGGACCCCTGGGGGTCCACCTGGACCACTTTGGGAACCCATGTTCTAATGGTAACTCAGATTATGTTTTAATGCAACGATACGAACTGCTCCGAATTCGACAAAACATTTTTAAGAAAAACGGTAGCGAATTACAAACTACAATTTGCTTCCATTTTTTCTTTTTTTGGAAAAGTTGCCCACAAGCAATAATATGCGAAAGTGCTTTGAAAAAACACTGCTAAGCGATGTCGCCAAGTGTATGGGGCGTCCATAGTTAATATTGAAGTATTCCAGTCTTGAAATATATGAATAGTACTCCTGATTATTAGGATTTTATTTATTCTGTCTTAAAGTTTTGGTTTCCCTTCATTATATGAAACTTTTCCTTGTAGATAATGCGAACTTTGAAGGATTTACCAAATTCCATTAATTCAAGTTCTCCTCAGCCTGAAGAAGGTGTGACATATGGTATGTTTATTATAAAGTAACTAAATTTATTTGTTAGATTACGCATGAAACTATGTAATATATACGTTTGACATATTAATCGGAAGCCATTTACATTATATTTAACTACGAGTCATTCGTTATTTTAGTATAGAAGAATTAGTAATAATAAAATTACATAGTATAATTATAAATTATTATGTAGAATGTTCTGTAGTGACAGCACTTTATATGTTTATTCAGAATTCTGCTCGAAAAAGTATGTACAATAAGGGATTCAAATAATTATTCAATGTAATAGCAGAGCTGTCAGCTGCAACACTATTGACAGAATATTTTAGATTGTGGTAGACAATTAAAAACTAAAGCTCTCAGATTTTTCAGCCATTTTGCTAATTTTTTATGANGATCACGAAAGTCGTCAAACAATCAATATCGTTAATTCTGCTGAAAACTACACCGAAAATGATTGGGACAGATTGACCGGACTCATGAAACTTGATGACATGGAATTTCATGACTTTGTAAACGTAGATGATGCATTAAGAGTATGTGGTCAGTGGGATGACATCGCTCAAACGAAAGCTTCTTGTGAACTATCAGAAGAAGAGGATAAGAAAATTGAAGATTTACCACCCAATGTTACTAACAAACAAGCACTTTCTGCAGTGGACACCGTAAGGAGATTTATTGAGAGGCAGCCAAATATGTCAGAGAAGGCATTTAAAACTATAGTCCACTTAGAAAGTGTTACAGACAAACTTACTTACACATCTCTAAAGCAAACAACAATTGAATCTTTTTTTTATATGAAAGGGTAAAAAGGGTTTTTAGAATAAATATGGAATAGTAAATAAGGTATGTAAAGAGCATTTTTCTTTATTCTACCATCGATAACATGCGATTTTCGATAATTCGAATTTTCGGTATCTCGAATTTTTTCTCCTCTCCCTTCAAGTTTGAGATATCGAGGTTTGACTGTATTAAGTTGAAAATATAAAATTTGTCCCAATTAGGGTTTCTACATCTTCCGGATTTTATAGTGGAAAATGTGAACTTTTCTGTTAAAAATCATGATGTTTTTTTTCTTCTTCAAACTTCAACGCTTGTGGTTAGTGTATAAATACTATTTTTCTCAGCTAAAACTTCCAGAATATTAGTTTTATACCAAATGGCATCATGAAAGATTTCATTAAAAAATAAATTCCCCCATGGTAATGAGAAACACTTGCTACATTTTACCAACAACATTGATACCACGCCACAAAAGTAATCGATATATGAAAAACACATATGCAGAAAAAGTGATATTATATATTTGCTTATTCAAATTTGATCTTTCCTTCTCTTTATGACCTAACACTTTGACTTTAGAAAAGAATTCTCCTATGATATTCAGGACATCTAGCTTTCTTCTAATGATAACTTAGATTATGTTTTAATGCAAAGATACCAACTGCTCCGGATTCGACGAAATATTTTTAAGAAAAAACGGTAGCGAATTACAAACTACAATTTGCTTTCATCTTTTTTGGAAAAGTTGCCCACATACGATGTGTTTCTTGGCGAGAGTGGTTAAAAAAAACACTGCTAAGAGATGTCGCCAAGTGTATGGGGCGTCGATAGTTAATATTGAAGTATTCCAGTCTTGAAATATATGAATAGTACTCCGAATTATTAGGATTTTCTTTATTCTGTCTTAAAGTTTTGGGTTCGCTTCATTATATGAAACTTTTCCTTGTAGATAATGCGAACTTTGAAGGATTTAATCAATTCCATTAACTCAAGCTATCCTCAGCCTGAAGAAGGTGTGACATATGGTATGTTTATTATAAAATAACTAAATTTATTTGTTAGATTACGTATGGAAATATGTAATATATGCGTTTGACATATTAATCGGAAGCCATTTACATTATATTTAACTACGAGTCATTCGTTATTTTAGTATAGAAGAATTAGTAATAATAAAATTACATAGTATAATTATAAATTATTATGTAGAATGTTCTGTAGTGACAGCACTTTATATGTTTATTCAGAATTCTGCTCGAAAAAGTATGTACAATAAGGGATTCAAATAATTATTCAATGTAATAGCAGAGCTGTCAGCTGCAACACTATTGACAGAATATTTTAGATTGTGGTAGACAATTAAAAACTAAAGCTCTCAGATTTTTCAGCCATTTTGCTAATTTTTTATGAGCTTCACTACAATAAAAGTACAAACCATTCAAGTATTTTCGGAGAGCCTATCCTAGGCGGATATCTGCTCCTTCATCGAGTTTAGGTGAAAGGAAGGGAGGTGCGGTACTTAACATTTGTTAAATCGCATGTAAATACAATTAGGAAATCAAATCTGGGTTAAATATAAGGCGCAAAGAGTACATAAGGTAATAAAAACAATAAGATATTTACAAAAGAAAAGATATTTGCAAAATTTACAAATGGGGCGGTAGCCGGGCTTCATTGGTGCAGAGAGGAGAGTTTGTCCAACAATGAAAGTACTTTAAGCGGCGTTTTATATGAACTTTTGAATAATTGAAAAATAGTGGTCTGAAAAATAACTTTAAATTTAATTTACGAAACAAAGAATAGTACATTAAAACATATACTTGGCTTCCCCTTGAATTTTTTTTTCAGAAAGCGTAGAAAGTTGGCAGCCCATGCAATAGCGCTCTTTAAAAAGTACAGTTCTTTTTAACAGAAAAAAATGATAGTATAAGTTATCTATTATTAAGATTTATGTAGCAGAAACAAGATATTTCTGTCTACCATAACATGTTAATTAAATAAATATTAATATTTGAATCTTAAGTTAAACCACTGTGCTTTGATTAAAACAAAAGTGACAGGTAACAGAAGGGGATATTCATTGAATTTAAGCAAATGTGTTCTAATATTATTTTCCTAAAAGTGATTTTTTTAATATTAAATCATTGTGACTGGGCACTAATGGGTAAAGCGAAGAAGAAAAATAATATGAAAATCTGCTGAATCGCTAATGAGGAAACCGAGGTGAAAAAAACACTAATTACTTGTACTTCATATGCATTTTCTTTACTCGTAACATTAGCTATAGTTTGTTTAAAATAAGGACTGCATTAGACATTAGTCTGGATTCGTGGCGGTGACTATGGTAACGAGATATAATTATTTCAAGTAAGGGTGTGAGGTCTCTATTTAGGACAGGTTTTGGTTTGGGTCGGCGAGAAAGAGGGAATCTTTTTCTTCGGTCTATTGTGTTAACCTTAGAATAAAGTGAAATTACCCTTCCTAAAATGCACTATTCTTGTTTCCATGGCAGAAAAGGGGCCTCAGTCTTTGTGGTGGGGGGAGTTCTTACAGTTGACAAACTATATGTATCCCCTTGAACAATTTTGTAGTATTGCTGGCATAGAATTATATTTCAGAGATCAAATGAATTTCATTGCTATGAATAATTTCTTTCTACAGCTCCAAAACTTGAAGCTTATCAAGGTTGTGTTAACTGGAATGAGGATACAGTGGAATTAATACAGCGAAAACTAAACACATTTAAGGACATTGTGAGTTTAATTTCTTATCTTTCTTCTTATTTTAGTCTTATTTTAAGTAATCCTGATTATCACCTAGGCCCAATAGGCACGGGCCTAGGGCCTGCACTTTCTGGGGGGCCTCAAAAATTAGTAAAAAGTCTACAAAATTACCTTTTTTTAAATATTGAAAGAAACAGTTTTTCTCATAAAAAGCATTTTTTTATTTCTAATTTTCTTTATATTGTGATAAACCAAACTCGTGTAAACATAGCACTTATCAAATTCGAAAGTACAGCTGAATTTTAGTTGGTGCAATTTTTACTCTAACGGCTTAAGCAATTGCAACGAGAATGCAAATTCGCTAAATCTCTTATAAATGATTAGCGTCAACAAGAACTAAAAGCTTATTCTTAATGAATATGCAAAGCTGTCGATGGAAGGCTACAATCTTTAAAATAATTCAGCTAATCAGTGACTTTTAGCAAAAATCTCCGATTTCACTTGTTTGTAGTCACCAAACTTTTTTTATTTTCTCACCTTTTATATTTTGCCTTAATATTTAGTTGCGTAAACTTTACCTTAGAAAAAAATTTTTCAACTGTCTGCTTTCAAAATTTTTTAGAAAGTTTCTTTTGAATCATGCAGTTCAATCGATTCTTTTTATTGTTAGGGCCACTCTTCAGAAATTTCTTTTTGAAATATTTTGTTAGAAGCCAAGAAACTTTTACGGACCTTGGGCCTGAATTTGTTTTAACACGTTCACGCCGGGTGTTGTGCCTGAAAGCGGGACGGAAAAGAAAAAATACTGGTAGAAGAACTATTTCAATATTAGATAATATTCGGGAGGAGTTAATCTATTTTCAACAATAACATTTCACTGTGAGGAAATTTATCACGGCGAAGAAGCAATTCAATGTGAAAATTGCATCCGTTAAAAACAATTGGTAGTTATGGTAGATTTATTATTGCCGGAATAAAAACTAAATAATGAAATTTATTTGTTACCAGTTTTTACTCCGGTGAGCCGCCCGATGAGACAATCTCATACCTGCCAACTTTTAATCCCTTCCATTATTATTTTTCCCAGTGGTATTAAAATGGAATTAAAACTTCAATTTTAAGCAAACAAATACGTTGTATTTGAGAAAACTTAAGTTGACAACCATGACAGTAACGCATATTAATATATGTGCTTAATTTTTGTAAGAATAGTGGTGATCAATATCATTTGAAAATTAAGATTATAAAAGAAAAAAATAGTATATAATTACTACCACTTTAAATATGAAAATAAAATCTTCAGGAAAATCCAGAAGAGTCAGCAGGTATGCAATCTAGCGTGAACGTGTTAATCGCTCCCTGATTATTTACCTTTAAAACATTCATTATTTTACACAAGTAGAAAATCTCAGAGGATGGAGAAACTAAATCAATATAAAATGAAATGTTTGTTTAATAAAAAATTCTGGTTTAAAGGGTTAATCTTTATAAAGTGTTTTTTTATGTTAAAATTTTTTTAATTCAAAATTTTTTTCAGTTTCCAGTCTTTAGCTATTGGAAAGATAAAAAAGTGGTATTCGTCGAGTGCTTGGATAAAAACGAAGTTGTAGCAGCTAAAATACCTTCATTGTTAACGGTGGACGTATCTCCGGGATTCATCTACTTCCACGAAGAACTAAAACTCATTTTTGTGAAATGCAAGGTGAGTTTAGCATATTTTTTTGCTGGGGTTAACCATAAATCATAATTACAAATAATTAAAATTTGTGATGATGCTATCACAATACACCCAAATTTGAAACAGTCTTGCTCTCTTCTAAATCTAAAAACATTAATTTTTAACGGTGCCTTGCACCTAGTTTATCTTAACTACAACCGGGAGTTAAGCCAAGCCGGTTCCCCGGATGCACGCTATCATTCAACGATTCGAAGTGTGTTTACGCTCGGTGTTGGTGAACGAGAAATTTTTGGTGTAAGATCCTCTTTCCTTCTCTGCGAGCTCGTTTTCTGATTTTCATGATTGTCCATAGATTGTTAAGGTTGCGAATCTAGTAATTAGGATATAGTATAATTTTATATATTGATTTTTGAGGTATAGCCAGCCGAGCATGCAGAGAAGGAGACACGTGTTCTCGAATATGAATTACACGAGGTAATCCAGTGCTCCTTTTCCAAAGAAGATGTTCTTTTGTTGAATTGTGATTCCTTCCTGAAATAAATGACTAACTTAATGTGAAGAATCCACGACTCCTGATTTTCTTTTCCCATGGACCAGTGTTCCTGTGGCCCCACTTATACGACGCGTGCCCATGGCAACTACATCCCAATTAAATATAATATTTTCCCCTTATTTTAACTCAAATTAATACAAAAAACACTCTATAACAAAAAAATTGACGCACCAAGAAGCAATCCTCCGACTGCTTTGAAATTTCGCATGCATGAATGTTTTGAACAGATATGGCTGGAATGATGACGACAGGGGACGTATAGTCTTTAGCGACGAATCCCGCTTCCAACTGTGCCCTGACGATCATCGAAGACGTGTTTGGAGACGCACAGGGCAGAGGGGGGATCCTGCCTTCACTATTGCACGCCACACCGGCCCTCAACAAGGCATTTTGGTCTGGGGTGCCATTTCCTTTGACAGCCGGACCCCTTTGGTCGTCATTAGAGGTACACTTACTGCAAAGCGGTACGTCGACGACATCCTAAGACCTGTTTCGCTACCGTTCTTTTTGCAGCGCCCTGGGCTGGTTTTTCAGAAGGTCAATGCCAGACAACATACGGCACGTGTTACTATGAACTGTCTACAAGCTTGTCAAACTCTTCCTTGGCCTGCCAGATCACCAGATCTCTCTCTCATTGAGCATGTCTAGGATATGATGGGAATGCGATTGTATCTGGCACGGAATGTTGATGACCTCGTTCGACAATTGGATGATAGAATTTGGCAGGAAATACCGCAGGAGACCATCCGGTAGCTTTATCGGTCTATGCCACGCCGTGTGGCAGCTTGTATCCTGGTTAAAGGCGGGTCAACACCTTATTGAACTTGTTACTGTATAACTCTGCAATAAATTATTTAATTGTTCTGAAATTTTTATCATTTACTATTCTGTACATTGTCTTCCTATCCACCATTTTTCGTTTCAATCGGACAACTCCTTCTTGGTGCATCAATTTTTTTGTTATAGAGTGTAATTGAAAAAAATATGAAAAATAAAAACTTTGCGTTGAGGGGTTAATCTTTATAAGTAGAAAGTGGTGTTTTTATCCTTAACATAATTTTAATTAAAAAATTTTTTTCAGTTTCCAGTTTATACTTATTGGAAAGATAAAAAAGTGGTATTCGTCAATTGCTTGGATAAAAACGAAATTGAAACAGCTGAAATTCCTTCATTGTTAACGATGGACGTATCTCCGGGATACATATATTTTCACGAGGAATTAAAACTCATTTTCGTGAAATGCAAGGTGAGTTTAGTATATTTTAAACCGGGGTTAACCATAAATAATCATCATAACCATAAATAATTAAAATATTAAATCTAACACTTTTCACTTATTTTAACATAAATTAATACAAAATAATGAAAAAATCACGAAGAATAAAAACTTTGAGTTAAAGGGTTAATCTTTATAAAAAGAAAGCAATTTTTTCATTGTAAAATTTTTTTTCACAATTTTTTCAGTTCCTAGTTTTTACTTATTGGAAAGATTAAAAAAGGGTGTTCGTCAATTGCTGGTATAAAAACGAAATTGAAACACTTAATATAACTTCATTGTTAACGCAGGACGTATTTCCGGGATACATATACTTTTACAAGAAATTAAAACTCATTTTTGTGAAATGCGAGGTGAGTTTAGCATATTTTAAAACTTATAATTTTACACTAAAAAAGAACAAGGCCATAAAAACGAAATGCATGCCTTTAGAATATAAAATAAATCATCGAAATTAAATTTTTTAAGCAGAAAAAAGAGAGAGAGAGAGAGAGAGTAATTTTACTTTTCTCTGACTTAAAACGGAAAACCTAGAGCACATCACATTCGAAAGAGGTGGGAGGAATTTTCGCGGTAATAGAAGTTAATTAAGAAAATGAAGTCCCCAGAACCTGATTATCTATTTGACCCAATTAGCCTCCTTAGCCATAGGGAACATGATTTTTGAGAAACTTCAAAAAATTGATTAATATTAGTATAAAAAATTAGTAGTTTTTTCAGCTGAAAAAAAGGCTCTTTTCGGTTAGCCAAGCGCAAAAAAAGCTCAGTTTGTAAAATTTATTTATTTTTATTTTAATTAATTTTTATGTGTTAAAAAATAGTTAGTGAACGTCTGCATTTTTTTGTGACTTTTCGCTTGTTCTTGGCAAAGCTAGAAGCACTGCGATTTCCCCCCAAATTTTTCTTTGTTTTTTTTCGAAGCTTCTGAGAATATTCCATTTCAACAAAAAGTTTTGCTAAAAACTATAAGACAGAGAAAATTTTGTTCTTGCAGTTCTATAAATGTTTTTTTCTTTTCATTTTAAGACTATACTAATCAGTAGGTTAATTTCGAAATACTTAATAATGGGACAGAAAACTTGGTGAGCCATGAGGAAGTTACTCATATTTCATTTCGAAGCAAAAAAGGATAAAATTTGTGTTTCTTTTTATGCTTTATACTTTTTCTGATTAAGCGAATATAGCACCTAAAATGCATCATTTTCTTATAACTAGTCATTTATAATTATTTACAGATACTTAGTTCAGTATTTTTGGTTGCTTTGATGATAAATTAAACAATTCTACAGAGTATTTCTTAAATTAGACTTACTGTATTTAAAAATCAATGACAAGAAATCGGTTTTAGATCAAAGTAACAAATTTTGCTTGAAATTCATGTAGCAGCGCATACGTTTTCTTCCCAGAATTTCGGCTTTTAACTCAAAAATATTCCACCAAATGGCGCTGTAAATCTTTTCCACTATTTTTACCGTTTCGACATGGAAAAATTTTGATCACTAATTGTTATCATGGTTATTTCGAAAATATCAGCATGTGGTTACTAGTTATTGAAAGATTACTAAAGATTGTAATTTGGTTTTAATCTGTATTTGTGAGCTAATTTTATTGGACTTTGTCTTAGTATTTTAATACTGCTTAAAATAATTTAAAAGAATATATAAATGCCTCTTTGTAAAACTAATAAAAAATTTTTCTTTTTTTACTTCTTTAGGGCGGCTGGTGTGGAGTGGTTAAAGTGAGATTACATCCATACGGAATAATGCCAGCTTCACAATTTTATAAAAACTTTATTAGAAAAAAGAAGGACTATTATTTTATTTCTCCTGAATCTGGGAAAAAAGACTAATGAAGCTTGTTTAAGTATACAACGAGCTTACTATCACATTGCCGATAAATCTTTCGGTTTTCTTATAACATTTTGCAGTTGGCTCCCGTTTTAACGATCTCCGTCACCAAAGCAAAAACAGACGTTGTACGTGAAACCATGATGGTACAAAGGTGACGTAAATATTCACAAATGCTGTGCCAATTTTAATTGAATTCGTGTAATAGAGTGGAATTATAGTATTAGTAATTAGTATAGAGTTAGTATAGAGTAATTGGTATAGAGTATAATTAGTATAGAGTGGAATCGTGTAATAGAGTGGAATTAGGAACTTTGTGCGAATAATTTGTAAAAATTGTTTTTATTTTATTTAATAACCGGAGTTGAACAACTGACCCCAATTCTAAGTTTACAACTATCAATAACAAGCGTAAGCCCGTCCCGCCCCCGTAAGGGAGCATCCGGGGGCACTCCGAAAGTTCGAAGTGAGCGTAACAGCTCAATTACATGAGCAAACATATTCAAAATTTTCAAATTAGAGTTTTAACAAATAGGTGGAATATTAAATATGAAATCCAGAAAACAGTGCTACTTAGAAATAAACTAAGAAAACAAACATTACAAAGAAAATAAACAGTAACAATCAGAAGAGATATTGATGTCGCATCTTCAGTAGGGGTGCAAAGTTAATAAAAGGAAACAATTTCACATGGAAAATATAGGATGTTTGTAACTCAGAATATAATTATGGCTGGCACAACAGTACTAAAGTTATCAAATTCCAGTAATTATTATTATTATTTTTTTTAAACAGAAAGGACATATATATACCATATATAAAAACTCTAAGAACACAAGTGATTAAAATTTTCAAAATGAGGAATCACATTGGGGCAGAGATTGACAAAACATGAGACTAAAGCTCCAAAAAAACATTTTAAGAGAAAATTCAAGTAATAATTGAACCATAACAGGTTAGCCGTGATTTAGGTGTATTTTTCCTAACAAGAGGCAGCAAAAGGCCATCAGGATTCAGGGAGGTGCCTTGTTACTAAACAATTTTCTTATTATTTCCTCAATTCCCTTTTTTATTTTAGGGTTTGACCAATGCTGCTTTATAAACTCGTAGGTGGTTTGTGAATGAAAAAATTTCTCTCTAATGTGCTTAAAATTTGTACACTGGATTAAAATATGTTCCCAATCCTCAACAAGCTGACAGGTACTATCAATTTACAACTATCAATGTTCAACTCCATAGCCTTGTAATTTTGAAACTAGCCCAGAAGACAAAGAAACTCCTGGATCAAGCATTATGACAAATTAGCCTTCGTGGAGGACTTTTTGATGAAACCTCATTTGCGCTACTTGGAGAGAGAAAAAAAACACTATAATCTCCCACGGTTAGCCCGACGACAAGGGGATTTTAACCCACGATCCACTGAGGATATTTTTAGCCAGCATTGTGGTTAGTGTGAACCGGGAGCAGAATTCGTACCAACCAGCCACCACTGAGGGTCTAACCTGGGTGACGTCATTTCAATCCTCAGTGGTGTCTTGATGCCTACCCAGCTTCAGATCGATGAGTAGCAGCTTGTCTGGGAAATAGAGACGGCCAGTGCGCAAAGCTAACCTTATTGCCACAATGATGTAGCGTTGGTTTCGAATTTGAGAAACTTCAAACTCCATAACGTTAGTTCACAGTGAGCTGTTGCGAAAATATTTTATTTTTATACATGAAAAATAATGCAGATATCTCAGTGGAAAAATCTTTCTGTTACCTACCACTGCAGTTTTCGAAAGGAAGGTTCATAAAAACATATTTATATTGTTAATACATCATAGTAGACAGAACTATTATGTAACTGCAAAATAAATCATATTAATGAAATACATGAGCTACCACTTTTTCTTTTTGCCCCCAAAAGAGACACCATCCTTTTTAAAAGAAACAAGGTACAAATTAGTTAAGATATAATATATGGAAGTTTTATTGAGATTCTATCTCCAAATAAAAACCTAACTATAATTCAATATATGCAATTTAAAAAAAAATGATTATTCAAAAAGTATTCTACTTGAGAGAAAAATATCTATTGTTAATGAATAATATGTATTTTCATCAAAATATTTTGCTCTTTAAGTACCAAGTTTCCTACTCTGGAACTGTGCTCTTTTTTCAAGACCGATAACTTGAATATTTAATTCATCAAAATTATTTCAGATAAAAAGAAAATTAGTCTACCATTTTTATATTCATCAGTTGATTTTTTTTTCTATTCTGAAATGCGATTTCAAATTATTAAAAACTAAAGAGGTAGCTTACATTGAGGATAATCAACTTAAAGTAAAAATATATTATAGCTTTTTCTCCTAAGGTAGTTTTCCCATCTGAGCAGAACGATAAATTTCCTCCCCTTAGGAAAGGAATTTTTTTAAACAAATATATTTGCTTCTTTACTCATTTGGTAATTTTTCCAATTCTTCTGAAAAGTTTGCCTTTAACCCCTTCACGCACAGATTTTTTGAAAAAAAAAAACCGACCAAAAAAGATTATTTTTTTTTAATGTAAAAAAATTTATTCCGGTCCTGGTTCAACTTTTCTTTTGGTAGACAATTTCGATATATTACTAATTAGTTCGAATTTACTTTACTCATTAAAAAGGTTATTTATGTAGTTTTTTTTACATATTTATTCTATCAGCATTATTGTTTTTTTTTGCTGAGTTTATAGTTTTATATATATATCTATATCTCAATATATATCTATATCTCAATATATATATATCTATCTATATAACTAACTAACTCAGTGGCGCGACAGCCCATTAAGAGGGCCAAGGCCGACTGTGCCCATCTCAGTTTTCTTGACCTTGGGCTCTGGGGTGCAGGAGCATATGTTCCGGTATAGTTTTTTTTAAGTAGCGGA